TACTGTTGGTGGAAAATAGCCATAACGCTTCCTAAGTTTTCACCCAATGAGCAACCTTGAATGGCAATGTTCTCGTTGAGTGCATCCTTTGATTGTTTTTTGTCCTTGAAAACTCTGTTGCTTATTTCCTCCCTGATGAAAAAAAAAAAAAAAAAAAAAAAAAAAACAAAATAAAACAAAACAAAAACACAAATGCAACATACAAAATGGCAGAAGGTTAATAAGCAGAATTCATCACTTGCTCTGCCAAGAAAACTATTATGATTCGCCCTGCCCTTGAGTTCTGTAGTCTGATAACAGCCAAGAAGAAAAAAGAAGAAAGAAGAAAGAAAGAGAGAGAGAGAAAGGAGAAGAAAAGTCTGGTTCGAATGAGAGAAAAATTACCTCTCCCATTCGGCCAGATGTGCTTTATATTACTAACATAATAGAAAAGACACATGTGCCCCTACTTAAGTGAGGGACACTAGTTCTAACATAATATTACACATCAACAACCTCAACATAAGTATAAAGACAGAAATACCCCTACATATTTGACACTAACACTCCCCCTCAAGCTGGTGTATATATATCATATAGTCCCAACTTGTAACATATGTAGTCCACTCTTCCCCGACTCAACCCTTTAGTAAATAAGTCTGCCCACTGGTTCCCTGTGTTAASATATGCAGTGTCTATCACTCCACTCAGCACCTTCTCTCTCACAAAGTGACAGTCAACCTCTATGTGCTTAGTTCCTTCATGAAACACCGGATTAGAAGAAATATGAACTGCAGCCTGATTGTCACAATAGAGCTTCATTGGAGTACTGATGTCATATCCTATCTCCTGTAGAAGGTTTCTTAGCCACACTAGTTCACAAGTAGTATGTGCCATAGCTTTATATTCTACCTCCGCACTGCTTCTCGCCACAACTGTCTGCTTCTTACTTTTCCATGTCACCAGATTACCCCCAAGAAAAGTGCAATAGCCTGTGGTAGATCTCCTATCAGACATAGAACCGGCCCAATCAACATAAGTATATCCTTCTATTTCAAGTTTTCCACCACTTTTGTATATCAAACCACGACCAGAAGCCCCCTTTAAATACCTCACAATTCTTAAAACCGCATCCCAATGAGGAACCAGAGGTTTCTGCATGAACTAACTTACCACACTAACTGCAAATGAAATATCTGGCTGAGTAATGGTTAGGCAGTTCAGTTTACCTATAAGTCGCTGGTATCTGCTAGGGTCTTCAAACACTTCACCCATATCACTACTCAGCTTAATGTTTGTTTCCATAGGTGTTTCAACTGGTTTAGCACTTAACAAACCTGTTTCTTCCAACAAGTCAAGCACATATTTCCTTTGACACAAATCAATACCATGCTTAGACTTTGCTACTTCTATCCCCAAGAAATATTTCAATTTACCAAGGTCCTTTGTTTGAAAATGTTGCTACAGATAAGTCTTCAACCTGTCAATGCCCATTTTATCATTCTCGGTAATAACAATATCATTTACATACACCACCAATAGGATTTTTCCTGCCTGAGAATCATGACTGAAGATTGAATGATCAACTTGGCACTGTTACATACACCACCAATAGGATTGCCCCACGGTTCGGCCACCCCTGCTTAAACCTTGTCTGAAAGCCTCCTCTGATTTCTGAATACCCTTCCAAACAGCACATCCATAAGTTAAATTTGATTCCCCAGGGTCCCAATTTGAGTTCCCTGAACCATACTTAGCCTCTACTACTTTTCTCCATTGACTTGTGGTTTGCTCATTCCACCTCCAATACCATTTCCCAAGACAAGCCAAATTAAACTTTCTCACATTCCTTAAACCCAAGCCTCCCACCTTTCTAGATTTACAAGCTTTGCTCCAACTGACTAAATGGAATTTAAACTCATCCTTCTATCCCTGCCAAAGAAAATCTCTCATTGTCTTCTCCAACTTCTTAGCCGCACTAGCTGGAATAAAGAAGAGAAACAACAAGTAGGTAAGAAGAGAAGACAAAACACTTTTTAATAGTGTAAGTTTCCCTACCTTACACCATCACTGAGTCCCAACTCTTCTTAGAAGTACACTTTTCCCCAAGTGGCATCCCCAAGTACTTTGTTGGCAATTTTCCAACCTTGCAGCCTACAATATTGGTCAATACTTCCAAGTTTGGACTGTTCCCCACTGCCATTAGCTCACTTTTATGCATATTGACTTTTAGACCAGAGACCACTTCAAACCAAATCAAAATCATTCTGATTTTTTCCACTTGATTTTCTGCTGTGTTGACAAAGAAGAGAGTATCATCAGCATACTGCATCAGTGCTACCTTCACTTCTTGACCCACCTTGAAGCCTTCAAGTAATCCTCCTTCCACTGTCTTATTCACCATCATATTTAGGGATTCCAACACACAAATAAATAGCAAGGGATAGAGGGGGTCCCCTTGCCTTAAACCCCTCAAGCTCTAGAATCTGCCTGCTGAAACACTGTTTACCAATATAGAGAAGCTGGCTGTTGTTACAAACACACCTTTATCCAATTCCTCCACCTCCTCCCAAAGTTGAACCTTTTTAGCATGTACTCCAAAAACT